GGGGATCTGAATTTTCTATTTTTTCATGTGGATGCTGTGATGTGAACATTAATTGAAACACCAAAATGTTATTTTTATAACATTTCCTACTTTTCACACTAGGCCTACTTATGGTGTGGTCAAAAATTCGTGGTGTAACTAACTCCAATATTTGCACAATGACATCAGTTTGTCTTAACTGATGAAAAGTTTTTTTCAAACACCTGTACACTGTATTCCAGAACATTGCTTAATAAATACTTATTAAAAAATCCAAGTCGATGGTTTCTACAGCTTTTAAAAAGTTTACAGCTCGGGCAATATCGCTTTTCAAAGGAAGTCTGTCATTGTTTTCTAATCGCGACTTTACGCTTATTGAACGCATATTTTGAGAGCCTTTAGTGCAAAAAATGTGTTTACTATAAAATTATTTTCTTGTAACAGGTTTTGTCACTAAAAATTGTCTTTGGTGAGCTGAGACGTAGGCCATATGTACGTATACAAAATGTGTTCAAGAAGCGGGAAGTGCTATGAACAATGCCATTTTCCGCGTGACAGAGATTTACTGTATTTTATATAAATTCATTAAGAAAATTTGTTTAATCTAGCCTCAGTTGTTGTGGAAAAATATGATTAAACTGAGACAAATTGATACAAACTGCTGGGCACAGTAAGAGTGATTCACCCTTTTAAGAGATAATATTATTTGATTATAGGTTGCGTAACGACTCAAAACACTAGATTTTATACACAATAAAAGGGTGGTACCAGGTATTATTACCCTGCAGACATTCTGGGCTTTCCGGGAAGCAAAATGTGGAAGCTGCAAATTACACGCGCTCAAACACGTATAACTGACAAGATCTTTTGCTTTCTATAGCTGGGTACCCAATCCGGTCCAATCCCACCTTGGTGAAGAGAGGAAAATTCGTGTAAAATGCCTTTCACAAGAACACAACTTCGCCCCTTCCCCCTCGTGTGATTCGAACCCTCGACTTTGCTGTTGCGAGACTGAGAGTGTGGCCATTTGTCCTCTGACCCCAATGCTCACGCCACACAGTGCGTGAGTTTTGCCTCGTATGTCTGTTTGTCCTCAGCCTTGACCGATACAAGGTCAGTCTGTAGAAAACAGTGTCGCAGCTTCGGGACTGAACCAGTGAGGGACATACTGACAAGATCGTTTGCTGTCTGTACGGACGGGTACCCATTCACTCTTGGGTGAAGTGAGGAAAATTCGTGTAAAGTGCTTTTAGGAAGGGCACATCATAGGGCCAGAACATGAAACCCCGAACCCGCAACCACACGATTACGAGTCCTGTGGCCTAACCACTAGACTAGCCACGCCATATTTTGTTCCGCTTTCCTTTTACTTTTGTTAAATGTTTTATTTTAAAGTTGAGTTTTCTCTTTCAACAATAACTGCTAACAGAAAAAGTATGTTGAAACAATGTATTTGAGTGTGTGTATACATTCTTAAAGGGTTGACGGCCACACACAAAATTAGGAAGTGCTTATTTGCAACGTCGCGTTGTGATTAGCGCCAGTGCTACATAAAACGCCGCGTTGTGATTAGCGCCAGTGCTACATAAAACGCCGCGTTGTGATTAGCGCCAGTGCTACATAAAACGCCGCGTTGCGATTAGCGCCAGTGCTACATAAAACGTCGCGTTACGATTAGCGCCAGTGCTTCA